TTTTCGGATAAGCGAATACATTTTTGTATTCTTTATATCATCAATTTAGTTGTTTTTATTTTCATAATATTTTAGTTTCATAAATCGCCGTTTTTAGTCATGCCTTCTATTTAGAACTTTTCTTGTTTATTTAATAATTAAACTATTTGTTTCAGATATGTCAAGAGAATCATCACTTCATTTATATAATACAATAAATTATGGTCAAATGCTGATTGCTGGGTTGTGTACCTCATCGCCGAAAATATGATCACCGAAAACGCACATCGCCGAAATCACATGCAAATTTTCGCTAAAATTACATGTGCTTTCGGCGACATGAGTTTTCGACGATCTTATTTTCGGCGATGAGGATTCATACCGATTGCTGCTGGTGGGGACGGCGCTTGTCGACGTCCTCCTCCACCATCTTTATCAACAATGCCCGGACGTCGTCATCGTTCTCTCTCAGCAACTCGTGATCAACTAGTAGTTTCTATAATGACACCTATTAATCACATAAAAAATAATAAATCGTTCTTATTTGTAGATCTCCTTTAGTGGTCGTCGTGCCAATATGGGGGTATCGGCACAGCGAAGCCGATCTGATGGACGCCAGGATGTGGTGGTAAGTTTAAATTACATGCATGATTTTCTCTTTTTAACTAACACTTGGACCCCTTCATCCACTTCTCCCGCATGTACGCCACTGCTACCACTGCTCATCGATGTTCAATGAACCATTCTACATAAGCCAAGGTTGATGCTAAGAGAGTGTGCTCAATCAAGTACCTCACAGCTTGCACAACTAAATATTAGTTCCAGAAATAGGACTTCTATGAATTTGGAGACAAACCATTTCTTCTTAAATATTATACTATTGGTTTTTTTGAATGTTCTTTTTTCTTGGAAATTCTATTAAAGCAAAGTCTTGGAAAAGCGCATTTCGAAAATTATACATCTGAAGAATGGTTTGATCGACAAAGCCGAAAATTTCAATCGATGTATGCTTTGATTACTTGTGATCAGATAGTGGAAGTTTCACACCCATATATACTTTCATTAGTGAGATATAAAACACTAAATTAAATAGCTGAAAATCATGAATTTTGTCTTTATAACTGAAATTTATAGAGTAACAAAAACTAAACTATTTTACCCGAAAATTTGTATCTGAGCACAAGTAATTAATGCATACATCGGTGGAAATTCTCAGCTCTGATAATAGTCAAACAATATTTGAGATATTTAGTCTTAAAAATGCACTTTCTCTAGATTTTGCTTTTATATGGTTGTCGCGAAAAAAATTATTTAAAAAGCAACAGTTTTATATTCAACAAGAAACGGTTTGTCTGTAATTCATATCAGTTTCATCTCTAAAATATATCTTCAGTTGTGCAAAACGTGAAGAACTCGATAAAGTAACTTGTAATGTAGTTTCGATAGACTAGACTAACTATAGTTATTCACTGTGATGTCCAGTAGATAAGTTTATTTTTGCAAAACTTCTTTTTCCAACATGGGTGACATCTCTCGAATGAATGAATCATGTTTGCCCGTTATTCTTTCGCAAACGAAAATATGTTGTCACACACTGTCCTATATGTTTCTGTTCTCTCTCCTATATTTCTCTGTTCTCTTTTCTATAGTTTATGACAGCGAATCATTGAGTTTTCTTCTTTTTCTGATGTCGTACTCTAGAGTTGACCTCTTTTCTCTTCACCTTTATCTCGAACAATGACCGATAGAAGAAAAAAAAATGTATGAATCGCACTCTTGATTGGCACTTTTATTTCTTGCCCTCAATCACATTTTTCCTCTGTCCCATATTTTTTCCGTTCATCAGTTTCTGTATTAAATTTTCATCTCTCAAAATATTGTTCAACAACAGTCATGTGTAAAGAAAGAAACATCTACAAACGAACGGTACATATTCATTTAAAATTTTTGAAACCCTAATGTATTTCAAATTTAACATATGTTTGATTAAAATGTTTGTTTTAATTAATGCATTTGAAATAAAGTAATCTTAAGAATACTTCCCGTCTTTTCGGAATTTTTGGAGAACAGCTTATCAGAAATATTTGATAATTTCAGGATAGATAGGTCCTGATGAGTAAAGCGAAAGTTGTCATAGACTCAAAGTACCCAGATGCTGTCTTATATGAGATAATAGGCTCACGATTGCAAAATATTGCCCTAATTTTTGCTTTCGTTTCTTCAAAATGCTATATTGGATCAAACTGAAACTTTTTCTACGAGTACTAGACGCTGTTTTGGGTGGATACTTTTCTGCTTTCTCTTTATCTTTGTCCTTTGAATAAAAAAGTCAAAATATCCAAGGTACCTTAAAAATACAAGTTTTTTTTTGAATTTCACAATGCTCAGACACCACCACCACAGCCAACAATAACATCATTAATACTTGAAAATCGTCTTCAAGCAGCAACAATCCATCGACAAGATGAAAAGATTCATCTTCTCACAGCTACAGTTCGTAGCCTTGAAGATCAAATGAAACACCTACAACAGCAGCTCGACAACCTGAAGGTGGTACAACCTGCACCACCATCATCATCACCACCACCTAGGGATGTGCGGTATCAGTATACTGACCACCGATAAAATCACACTGGAGCACCGACGTTTACTGATGTAGATAAGTCTGGTATATCAGTAAACATCGGTGCTCCAGTGTCTTCAACGCTCTAGTAGTACGCAGTGTCAGTGTGTCACCGCAGACAGTGCGCTCAGTGTCAGTGTGTCACTGCAGACAGTTCGCTCAGTGTCAGTGTATCATTGCAGTCAGTGCGCTCAGTGTCAGTGCGTCACTGCAGACAGTGCGCTCAGTGTCAGTGTGTCACTGTCAGTAATTCACTGTTTTCACCGAAACTGCACATCCCTACTACCACCAGTTGCGCCACGTCTTCCTCGTGGCTCTGTTGAGCCACAATAGTGACTCTCTTTGTTTTTTTTTTCTTGTTATCCTTTAAAAAGATATGCTAAAATAAAAGTCCACTTCCTTTAAAATAAAAATAAAAATTCATTAATTTAGTAGCATGCTTTAATTTTCTCTAATTTTTCTTTACACACAGTTTATTAGAGTTTTATTGTCAATGCTTGCAGAAACTATTTCCTCTAGTAAGTTCTGTCGCTTCTTTATAAATAAGTTTTATGAATGAAAATTATATATAAATAATACGTAGGGCATACCAAAAGTAGTGGCAGTGGCACTTTATTCCCTTATAGTGCGCTCAAAGAAACTTTCCTTATATATAGTTTGATAGAGAAAAAAAAGCTCTATCTTTCTATGCTATTTGATCATACTTCGACTAATATCATAATATTAAATTATCTATAAAACTCATTTTGGCAGGATATGTGCTGGTTGTACTTGATTACAACATGTGTGAACAAACTAGTTTTCAATCCCTTAATACATTGTATGAATAACCAAAATGTACCATAAGATGCACCGTGAAAAGCTCTACAATTTACATACGGCTACTTTTTTTATAGCTGCACTTTTTGTTTTCAAAATCGATAAAGTTTTGAGAGATCAAATTTTGGGTATTGAGGAAATTGATCCCATAGAATTTTCCTTTTTTTTGAAAACAAATACAGAAAGTTTTACTGTGTAGATTGTAGAGCTTTTCACGCTACATCCTGTGGTATATTTTGTTTTTCTTTTGATAAAATACATCAAGTGATAAACAATGAAATAACAAAAATGAACTCGTCGTGTATCGAAAACATTCTCTTTTTCGCCTCTTCACAATTTGATTGCTCCAAATTTTGTCGATTTCGAAAACAAAAATCGCAGCTATAAAATAAGTGGCTGTATACAATTTGTAGAGCTTTTTACGCTGCATCTTATGGTACATTTTGGTTATTAATACAAATAATAAGGAATCGAAAACTGCAACACAAAACTTACAACCAGCACATAACCAGCCGAAATTGGTTTTATGGATAATTTACTATTATGAAATGAGATGAAGTATGATCAAATAGCATAGAAAGATAGAGCTTTTTTTTCTCTATCAAACTATATATAAGGAAAGTTTCTTTGAGCGCACTATAAGGGAATAAAGTGTCACTGCCACTACTTTTGGTATGCCCTAAGTAGTATTATTATCGACAGTGACAATAAGTTAAGTTTTCTATGAAACAATATACGTTGTCAAATGAGTGAACATGGAACAATCTTCTTCAACAGAGAAATCTGAAATACCTTGATCAGCAAGTCTCATTCAAAAAATGTTCATTTCACTTATTAATGATCAATATGTTGTTCAAGTATTTAAAACCAATTACAATCAAAAATATAATTTATGTTCCACAAATATTTTATTGAAGAATATGGTTAACAATTAGTACACTTTTAATTTCATTGATATAAGAATTTCGTTAAATTATAAATCTAAATTCTTTTAATACAAAGAGAAATCAAGATGAATTGCACATACAACAAAATATTGAACATGAAAGTGTTGAGTGATAAGGGAGTCTCAAAATGATTTCTATCCCAGATATAAAAACAAACGATCAGAATTATCATTTGTGATAATCTCTTTCAAATAGATGACGTTGCTTTTCAGTGATATTAACAAATAAAAAGATAGATGTCCTCTTGTATAAACTATTTTGAGGTTATATGGGCATATTCAAATGGATATTGTAATTAAACCAATTATATCTAACTAAGGTTGCTAATGTCGCTAAGTCATTTTAAAAAAGGTACTTTAGACCTCAGACAATATTTCAATTTACAATAACTTTTCCAATATAATAAATATTCTCTAATATTTAAGAAATTTTCTAATAGAGGTCGTCACATATTTCATTTTCAATATGGTCGAAAATAAAAATATATTTATTTTTCTTCGCTCTACAATTGCCAAATATATTTAATTTTATAGATAAACTTTATTAAAAAGATGCTTCTTCGTAGTCTTCTTCATGGAGCTGGTCGTTATACAGCTCGATCATCAGTAAATATATAATTTTCTTCTAATATTTAACTTATAATTTTTCTTCTAGTTTCGTAATGCAACAACAGCATTACAAACAACTCCAACAATAACATTTGATCAAACACTTTTAAATGT